CAGGAGCCACATGACGGGGAGCTGTTCTGGGACAGTAATGTCTTCCAGGTGCTGAGACAGGCATGATTTCCTCAAAAGACTTTCTTTTCACATGCCAATGCTCTTCTGCCAGCACAACAGCCAGAGACTCAGGCTGCCTTTGGGCACCCAGCAAGCTCCTGACATGGTTCGAATTAAGAGTCAGACTGGGCTGGAGGCTCTAACCCTGTCAGGGACAGCCCAGATTGCCAGAGCTGACATTGCTCCGTTCATCCAAGCCTTTGTAACAGTCTGAAAGGAGCTCAAAATCCCCCCCCTCCTTACATTTTACACCTATTTACACTGTTCACAATCAGTCTTTTTTGGGCGTATACTTCCACAATACTGCGTGTCTGTACAACCACTCTTCTCAGCAAATATTAACGTCTTAGCTATAAAATCAAAGTTTTCCTTATTTGTGCACAAACTGAGTGTATCCATAACCTCACAAGCTTCTGCACAGCCAGAAGCTGCCCAAATCCTCCACTCGCATCACGAGGACAGTGGGGGCTGATTTGAGAGCCAGGTTTAGGGCTGTTACCTTTAAGTTTTCATTACGTCACTCACCATTCACCTGCCAAAGGAAAACTCATGAGCGCGCAGAGACGGGAGTTCAATAGCACCTTCCTTAGGTGAATTATTGTGGTAACAGGAGACTACAGTGGGAAAGTAGGATCTAAAAACAGGGTGTAAAATGCATCCTAGCATTAGAGCTGATGGAGCTTTTGGGCAGCTCACCAGGCCCCGATGTCCTTCTTGTTGCAGCAGTGAAGCAAGTCTGTCCTCGGGGTGTGAGATTTTCCATCCGTCCAGCCTACTTAGATGGATGCACTAGCAAAGGATGAGGAGCATTACCTTGCAGCTTGGTATAGGACAGCAAAATGTATTTTTCTAAGCTTTGTGATAAAGGATGATCAATACTTTAAAGCCCTTCATGGCTTTATATTGAAACCAAAATTTTTAATTTGTAAATTTTTTGTAATTATTAGTTTGCTTTTGTCATTCAAAGCCAGGTTATGCAGAACCTACCAGCTTCCTACAGGCCGGCACCAGGTCAGAGAACTTCAGTCCAAAAATATACTGGTCCTGCCCCGTCTGCAAGAGCCATGGGCAGGGAGTGGTGCTTCACCTCCTGCCTGGACAACTCCACCTGACCTGCAAGGAACAGCGTAAGAAGCTGCCCACCACCAGTTGTGCCTAAAATGCCTGGATTCTGGAATTGCAGAGCTCACTGGAGCGATACACACCTTCATCTCCCGCATGAAGAGAGACCTGGCAAGCCCTTGCTGAGCACAGCATCCCTGCAAGTCACGACCTGCAGCACAGAAGCAGCCCCACTGGTGCGTGGGGCTCTGAGCCCTGAGGACCCTGTGCAGACTTACCTCAGTGCAGCAGCTCGCAGGCAGGGCACGCCGCTCCCTTTGTCACCTGGCTCGTTCTGGAGCTCCCTGAAGTGAGATACCAGCTGGTCCTGCTCTCCCTTCAGTCTGCGCTGCCCGGACGGGGTGTCCTTGAGCGTATCAAACTCTTCTGCATCTCTGGACAGACGTGGTGAGGAGCAGGGCAGGGTATCAGATCACAGCACTGCTTCTGGGAACAACCTTGGCTTTGGGATAGCAGGAGACCCAGCACAGCTGCGGTGGATTCACTTTACTGCTGGCCTCTCCCTGCCTCCCCCGGCTTCCCTGGCAGCAGGTCTGTAAGCGTGCTGTGGATCTACAGTCTCCACATCAACTATTTATAGAGGGAAATTCACAGCTTTGAGAAATCCTTCCCCCCTGCTCCAATGCCCACAGACCCAGAAACCGTGGGGCTGCCTGGCTCTGTTCACTGCTCCTGGCAGCACGGGGCAGGACTCGTGGCCCAGCCTGGCTGCGGCGGCATCATCTCCTGGCCCTGCAGCCGTCCCCAGCCTAGGCCAGGCAGAGAGGTCAGGCTCCCCCAGCCCACCCATGTGCCGTGCTGCCTGACCCAAGAATCTTCAGCGTCTCCTGGCAGAGGATGAAGGCAGCACGGTGCTGGGGACCACAGAACTTCTTCCGTTTGTGGAGAGCAACCACGACTGCATCCTCCTCCCTGTACCCCCACTTGCCCCACTGAGGTGGGACCCCCAGCACCCACGTGACACAGGAGCGCAAATGGCCACGCTCAGTAAAAATCAATCCCTTTTTCTACCCGTGAGGCTGCATGCCGCAGCCTTGCAGCGGCGTTGGGCATGACCTACCCTTCCCCTCGCTGGGGCCCCGGTGCTGCAGAGCTCAGGTTTCCTCCTGGAGACTGCAGAGCCCCAGCCCTGAAGCCGAGGGTTCAAGGCTGCATCAGCAGAGCTCGGCCGCAGACCCAGGCCACCACAGCAAGGTCAGGGCCTCCCAGAGCTCTTCTCCCCTTGCCTGTGCCCCTTCTCCTCCTCTCACCTGCCTTCCCTGCACTAAAAATAACAGGGCAGAGGCTGCCCCAGGCTGGGGGCTGGGGCAGCACCCAGGGGTTAAGTGATTTGTAGCAGCTAAAAGGCCAGCAAGAAAACCACAGGGACAGAAAGAAGGGACTAAAAGATCAACCTTACATAGATCAGAGTGGGGAGAAGCAGACTACATCTGGTAAAGGAACAGTGGGCAGGAGAAAAGATGGACTAGAGAGGCCAGGAGCCAGCTTTATGTCTGGGAAGATCTGTGCAACAGTTTAAGAATTAAGTTGTTTTGCTAATTTAGGAACACTGGTTCCCACCTCGCACTGGTGGACAGCAGCGATCAAAAATACCTTCGGCAACCCCCTCCCTGCTTGCCCGCTGTGGGAAGGCAGGAGTGGAGCTGCGAGGAGCTGTGTGTCCCCTCTGCCACCAGCCCGCACAGCCACGGCCCAGCTCCGTGGTGAAGGGACCTTCCTTGAAACTGCAGGAGTGCCGCGATGTAGGAGTGGTCAGTGGAGAGTGGCACAAGGTTATCTGGAAGAAAAGCAGACCACGGAGGGGGCAGGAAGGAAAAGCCCCACGGTCCTGGCACAGCTCCCAGGTCCTGGTGCTCAGAAGTACGGAGTTTCCACTTTGGAGGCAAAAGAGGCGAAGAGATCCTGGGCAATCGCATCATTGTGCAACACAAGCATGACACACATGTTGTATATTAAAATTTATTGAATTATTGTGTAAGAATTCTCTTTATTAAAATCATTTGGACTCTAAACTGATTATTTACAGACAAAACCTCTTATATCACCAATAGATTCCTACATCTCAGACCAGTATCTACAAACAGTTATTACACTATGTAACAAAATTCAGACTTTTTTTCCCCCAAGCTTTTTATATTAATTATTAATTCCAATTTGAGAAAGACAGTACCTCAGGTGCTCTGAGCAGGACTCAAGGTGTGGCAGGGCACAAATGCAGGTCAGGCCATACCGTAACAGACAACAGAGACACCAAGTCACAAGGCTGGGAAAGGCAGAGTCACCAGGACAGAGGACTGGGAGAAAGACTATTAGAGCCAACGCACTGGGTGTTCTGGAAACCAAAAGAATCATCCCGACAAGAAAGGCACCAAAAAAGCAGCATCTCGCTGCAACCGGGGCACACCCTGAAAAAGAAACGGCATTCCACCAAGGCAGCAGCTTTGAAGAACTCTCTATTTTCATTAAAAAAAACCCATTAGCCATCATTTCTACAAAATTTTAAAAAAAGCTTCCAGGTATAGCTTAAATTTGCTACCAGACAGATGAAAGCAAAGAGCTCTCACATCTATGTCACTTGGGTGCCAGCTACTCTTAGTCATGCCCACAGGAGAGACATTCAACTAAACTAACAGGTATTTACCTTAATACTGATCAGTACTTGGCGTTTCATCCAGACCAAGGTGGAAGCAAGTTTCTGCCTCTGACCACAGTGCCAAATAAACCGTAGTGCCTGCCATTCACGAACATCACCTTTCTGAGCATGCGGTTAAAGCAGCGACATCCTCTTGCAGCACTTGGGTCTTGCAGGAGGGGAACAGTCACTGTGGCAGTGGACTCTCAGCTGGGGCCCACAGAACTTGCTACCTTTAAAAAAAACAACCAACCCCAAAAAATCACGGGAACGTCCAAAGAGGATTCTCTGTCCTTGAGAAGGAACACCTGTCTCCAGTGTCTGGCAAGCTGGTCATGGAATCAGGCAGAGACTAGAAGAAACTTGGAAGGATCGTGAGAAATAAATAAATAAGCCTTCCCCACAATAGGGAATTTCATAATAAAACCTGTTTTGTGCAAATTTTAATGCAACATAACCCAGTTGTAGGAACGTATTTCGCCACAGGAGAGGGGCATGGACGGAGAGAAGAGGGGCCATGCCTAAGCGCCCAAATTGATCCCAGCGAGGGGCCTTCAGTGCGTGTCCGCAGGGGAAGAGGATGCCGGTGTCGAGAACACCAAGGACAGACGTTGGGAAGAGATGGGCACTGCCAGCTTTCCACTCTCACTGCACCTGTGCTGGGCAGTGCCTCCCGTCCAGCTACGCAAGGACAAGCTCAGGATGTTAATAAATACATCAATCACCTACATTTAGCTCTATTTTTAAGTCATGATTATTGCTCTAATGAAAGCAGACTTCCACAGATACACTCAGAGAAAACAGATCTTTTCCAACATCCAGGAGCACTACTGAGAAGCAAAGAGGATGAGGAGCCCATGTACCCTATGGCTGAAGGCAGCCACATGGCCAGGGACACCCTGAATCCTGTGGCTATGATTCCAGGAGAGCCACCAACTCCTCCTCCCTTTGCCAATGTGAGATGGATTCAGAATTAACCCCCAAGCCACCCTGTTCTGGGAAAGCACGGAGATAATTCTGCAGAAACAAGATCACACATTAACAGTCTGCCAGAGCTGTAAATCCAGCAGAGAGCTCCTGGAAGATGCTCAGCAAGTTGGAGAGACCACAAATCACACCTTGCTGCCCGGGGCACAGAGCCCATCTGTCACACACAAAGGGACAATGCTGCTCTGCCACAATACTTGCACCTGCCTCAAATCAACCTGCACCCACCTCAAACCAAGGAATCACCTCCTGCAGTTCCTACGGGAATGGCCTTTACTAATGTGCACGGTATCTGCTTTTCCCCTATCTAGCAGCCTTTTCCTCCAGCCAGCTTTTTTTGTGGGGCTGATTTAATCAGATTTGGTAGAGACAGAGGATTCACAGATGCCAAGTTCCCATAAGTTTTATGGAAATGGGTGGTCAGGCAGGAGCGAGGTCCAACCTGATGCCCAACTGGGGGAAGAGAGGCAAACTCTGCCTCCTGTTCCTCCCTTTCTTCCTGCCAGCAGCCAGCCAGCTCACCCACTGCTCCATACAGCGGGACAGGAGCAGGAGGTGGCACAGGGGCGTTGGCCATACTCTCGGCATGCAGGGTACCTGGGAATAATGCTGAGAGAGGGGTCAGAGGAGAGCTGGCCCTGCAGGAAGATAGACCAGCATTAGGTTGTTGTGACACTGCTCAGAGAATAGTTTTGCAACTGTGCGTCACTCGCGCAACGCCACAGGGCTGACCTGATCGGCCTGGAATTAGTGCTACATGCAATGTAAAGAGAGGTAGGGACACGATCCTGCCCCGTTTCAGCTCTGGTCCCTCCTGACCCACACAGTCACCACCTCCAGGAAGGACAGAGGAGTCAGATGTGTCTGCCTGCCCCAGGCACACAGGACATCAGTGTGGAATTAGCAGCAGGGGGTGAGAACGGAGTAGGGCACCCTTATGAATGGGAATTCACTCCCAGAAGGGCAGAGCGCAGGAACTGAGGAGGGAGCAGCGAGGAGCTGCCCAGCGACAGCTGGGCACTGACTGTGCTTGTGGCTGCCCCTTCCTCGCACGCATCACTCCCGTTTGCAGGACATCCGATGCTCCTCGGGAACAACGCAGTTGTGCTTCGTGGCTTCCTCGAGTTCACAGCTCACCGAGTATCCCTTCTATGTGCCACAACAGGAGAGTGTGGGGAGTGAAACTGGGAGTAAGGTGTGAGGCAAGCCTAACAGAAGAGCACACAGCTAAGCCTTGAACTGAGCTGTGGGGAAGAGCAAATTGCTCTTTTAACAAGGGAGACATCTACAAGTTATCCCTGCGGACAAAGCAGTGGAGAAAACTGCTCCAGTGCTGACAGACGTTCGTCAGTAGAAGTGCACAGAGATACTTCTCCAGGAAAAGCTTCGTCTCAAAGCCACAAAATTAAACATTCTCCTTTAGCATTTAAATACATTAACTTTCTGAGGGTATTTACAAGTCCAGTTCAGAGCAGCAGAACAGCCAGACACCGGAGGAGGGGGGAGTGGCACAAGGCATTTATTGTGCTTTTCCAAAGAGCAGGGCAATCTCTGACCACAAGGAACCAGGAGGACGGGTCCCAAGCTGGGTCAGCGGAGTCTGGGGTGGGCCAGGCAGTGACTCTCACGTGCTGAATTTGTCCTGAGGGAAAGGGTGAGGAGGGGGTGCCATCCATTTACAGCGGGCCCCTAGGCAAGCGTGCGTGCTGGTGAGTACCTGACATCTAAGCAGGTGTCGTGCACGAGCCGTCAGAGACCAGAACACTGGGGAGCAAGAGACCTTTGCCACCGGACACTCTCCTTTCTACATCCAACAGCTGGAACCAGTGGGAACACTGCTGCAAGGAAGTTTCTCTGGTGGGATGCTGCAGGGACAGAGGTTAGAACAGCTGTCAGCCTGGGGAAAGTTTCCTGCGTCCCCGCTGAAGTGAGCGGCTGCAGCAGGGGAGTCTCCCAGTGCTGGTAATGGGATCCAGGCAAGGCCAAGGACTGCACAGACATGGTGATCGGTGTTGTCACCCAGCTCTTCAACAATGTTGCTTGGAAACTTGGCACAGTCACCTAACAGCTGTCTGGCTCTCCTTGACAGTCTGCCAGAGGAAAACCAAAAGTTTGTGTTTTTTTGTTTGTTTTGCTTTTAGAAAGAAAAACAACCAAACTATAAAAAAATATCCTCTAAGATGCAAGGACGCTTGTACTTCGTACTGCCTTGGCCATCCCTGTTCATGTCACCCACGCACGTTCCTTGGAGAGTCTGGTTCCAATGGCAGCAGGACACCCTGTGTAGAGCTAGGACGAGCACTGTCCCCATTCAGCCAGGGGAGAGCAGTCTGTCTGCGCCTGTCACAAATCCGTGACTTTATTCTCCACAGCTGCTGCAATCTGTTGTAGCCTATATCCGAGCTGCATCTTCTGTGCCGTTGGGTCTTCTTCC